AAAAATTTATTTCTCAAGAACTAAAAGTGATTTTTCAAAACGGCTTGTTGCATTAAAAAGAGGATACTTTAATTAATAATTGGTGATATTTCCACAAAGATCTTTCAAGGAATTAATTTTATAGCGAATTTTGAAAATTATCGATGAAAATTGCAACATCGAAAATTTTATCAAAATTTCAAATATTCTTTTCTCAAAAACTAAAAGTTATTTTTCAAAACTAATTGGTTCTTTGGAAAGAGGACACTTTTATTAACACTTTGGAAAATTTATCTAATATTAACTAGTACTATCTAGCACTGTCATTAGAACTAACACTAGACCTAGCACAAGAATGATTCCCAATGGTTCTAGTTCTAGTTTTAGTTTTAGTTTTAGTTCAATAAAAATGTTTAATTTTATTATACGAGTATTTAAAAAAATTAATACATAACAATCAACATTAATCTTAGTACTTCTATATTATAACATCAATTAACTTTATAAAATCTAAAACGTACCGTTATACACAAGAAACGATTCAAACGTTCGCTTTTACGAGATGTTCTCATGATTTATTATAATGTTTATGTTTGTGGTATCTACGGACGAGAGTTCATCGAATTCGCCTAAATATCACATTAAAAAGACGTCGAGAGTGTGATCTCGTCTTAAAATTTAACAGTTAGAATGTCCTCGACCTCTCAACATCGCAATAAATTTATACTTTATACCTTTAATTTAGGTTATTTCCAAGTAAAATTTTTTCTTCCTTAATTTCGAAATAACTTAAGTAAGTTAATTTTTTTCCAAGAAGTCGATTTGTATCGTTTGCTTCGTGAAGCATCCTTAAGTGTCCCCTAGCAGCAAGAAGGGAATCGAAGAACTGGAGGAACCGGTCCTTGTTTCTTATTAGCGTAGCGTTTCGCTTTATCTGCCGAAGAAGAGTTGGGTATAAAGCCAAACGTTTGCGGTTTCTGAGCATCAGTACGTCTCAAGATGCAACACAAGTGGTTTTTGTTCTTCAGTGTTTTGGCGGCGGCCAAAGCCGCTTCGGTATTCCACGGTGAAATTCCTGTTAAAGTGATTTACGACGAAGAAGTCACCCATCGACTTTACGTAAGAAATTTGGATAAGACCACTCAAGAAGAAATACAGAAATTAACTCCGGTTCAAGAATCAATTGAACAAGAAAAAAATGAAGCTGTAAATTTGAAAGCTTTGAAGAATCACGAAGAAAAGGTCCAATTATCTCAAGAGGAGTTGTTGCTGGCTACAAGACGACTTCCTTTGGATCAAGAAGAAAAGGTTGAAGAGAAAAAATTAAGAATTGTAACCCCTCCTGAAGTTACAGTTGATGAAAATTTAGAAAATGATAATAATCTTTATGAGAAGATCCAAGAAATTATTAATAACGGCATTGAAACGATTAAAACCGACGTAAAATCTTCCCAAGAAGTCGTTCAACCTGCCATTTGGAATTCTTTTAATGAAGGGGTCGAAAATTTCCTTCAATCAGTGAGAAATAGAAACGCTTTAAGACAAAACTCGAATTCTTCTTTACCCATTTTGGATCAATTCCAAAATTTCGCCAGTAATTTCTTCGGCCAATTCACTGGTCAAAATAACAACGTACCGCAAGATTCCCAACAACCCGGATTTCCACAAAACATCGCCGGATTTTTCCAAAACGGTATATCCCAAATTCAAAGTGGAATAAGCAACGTTTTTTCGGGACAACAATCAACGTCGGCAACAATTTTAGGGGATAATCCGAGTACAGCAGCTCCAACAAATCCGATTCAAGGTTTCGTACAACAAGCTCAAAGTACTCTAAGTAACATTTTTAATCCCCAACAACAAAATAATCAAGCCGATCAAAACACGTCGCCACCAAATCCAATTCAGACCATATCTAATTCGATTGGTCAAGCGTTTCAAAATTTTAATCCATTTGCGAATCGCCCGGCTGGGGAAGAAACTTCGACGCAAAATAATCCTTTTCAAGCAATTCAAAACGCTTTGAATAATTTTAATCCTTTTCAGCAAACGACGGTGAAATCGTCTGATGCATCATCAACAACAGCTAATCCAATTCCAAGCATACCAAGTATTCCATCAATTCCTAACGTTCCTTCAATCCCTACCATTCCACCAAACTTAACAAATGTTGGACAACAAATTTCAGAAAACCTTCAAAATCCAGGTGCAGCAATTGGATCTTTGGTTGGGGGAAATAATCCTTTACAAGGGGTTGGTCAACAAATCGGTTCTGCAATCCCAGGGAATCCATTACAAAGCGGAAATAATCCATTACAAGGAGTTGCTCAACAAATCGGTTCTGCAATCCCAGGAAATCCTTTACAAACAGGAACGAATCCAATTGAAGGGGTAGCCCAACAAATCGGTGGGGCTATTTCTGGAAGTCCAATTCCAACAGGGTCGAATCCAATTGGATCTTTAGCGGGACAAGCTGGAAATTTAATTCCGAACAATCCAGGAAATAATCCTTTGCAAGGGATTATCCAACAAGGTGGAAATTTAATTCCGAATAATGGGTGAAAAATCGTCTTGATTTGAAATGCTTTTTTTAACTTTTTTGTATCAAAATAAAATTTATTTAAAATAAATTGATTTATTTATTTTTACTTACTCAATTAGCAAAAAGATTTTATAATACTTTATAATTTAATAATTTTAATATAAAGATGTTTCGAATCATTTAAACACTCGGTATAATTTTGATTCCAATTTAACATCCAAAAGTGGTTCATGTAGTTACACAGCTGGGATGAAACTAAATTTAAACCAGACTTAAACTCTTCCACACAACGTTAATTATAGCTACTTAAGCAAAATAGGTAACTTTCTATGTTTTGCATATTATTTTATATTACTTTCTAAATGTATAAGTAGCAATAATGTATTCTATAAATAATATGTTATTATCAACAAAAACACGTTACGAATGTGTGCAATATAATCTTCAAATAAAATTTGAAATTGAATATAAACAAAATGTTATCGCGAAGAATGCAATTCAAAAAAAAATTGATTTATAAGATTGCTATTGGTGATAAGAAAAGGCAATTAGATCGAGTGGTTAAATTATTTAAAGAATCGCTTTTTTAGATATCTTTGCACGCGATCGAGTGCGGTATGTCAAAGTTTAGGATCTTTACGTATATATATTTTTTTCATTCACGATTGTTAATTTTTTTTTTAATCAATACTATCTTATCTCGAATAATGTTCTACATAGATTGGTTTATTAATCGTTTTGTAATTATTGCTATTAACACCTGCGGATTTAATATTGGAATTGTTATCTTTGTATTAATAAATGATTAAATTGGGGTTGTATAAATTTATTTATTCTATTCTAAAAACTAAAAATAACTGTTTATGATTATTTTAATAAAAAGTTTTACTAAAAGTTGCTGATGTAATTATAAAACGTTAAAAATGTCGATTTAGTAAAAACCAACTTAATTTCATTGTCACTTGGAAAAGTCAGCAAAATCATGATAAAAGAACTTTAATATCACGAACCATTAAGGTTCATTTGTTGTTAATTCTTGGAAACGTTAAATCTTACAAACTAGACAGGAAAAAAGAATTAGTTAACGTCTTACACTCATACAACAGAACTATAAGTATGGGTAACTAAGACTAATAGATGATGTCAGAGTCTAATAAACCAATTCTTCTTTGATTGTTTGTGGCAGCAATGTAATTCTTGATTTAGTGATGTTTTATTCTATAAGTATCAGAAAACCCTCCTAATGTAGTTCATATACGAGTTCTACATAGCGATTGTCTTGATTACAGTGACAACGATTAAGTTATATAGTGTTTTGTAATCACTAAACATTATGAATATATGTCAAATCCGGCTGGTGTGTGTTCCATACAGGACGTTGCGACTTTTTTGTACCTACATAAAGAAAAAAAGGAGCGACGTCCAGTCTGGAACATACAAATTCCGAATGGAAGGAACCCCCTCTACCCGGATGGCTTATTTCTGTTTCTTTTTAATTTATAATTCGTTTAAATCGCTCTAAAAAAATAAAGAGACACAACATTTGATATATTTTGGTTAAAAACGCATTGAAATGCACCCAGCTGTTTTCGACACAACCGTTTTCTTGCCACAACTATTGCACATCTCAATGCAGACCTAACCTTACCTAACATTTTTCACGATATAATTGGCAATTAAATCAAATCATAAATTTGATCTAATACTTGATCTGAACATGCACTAAAATTGAATATGAAGTCTATTGGTGTCCTATAAAAATCTGATACCATTGAGTGTAGGGTACTTCAGTTTATTTTAATTTAGTTACAATATAATCCGATTGTAGGTCTAAATATGCCCTAAGTAGGACATATCAGACAGGAGAATATGAAGAAATTGTTTAAAAGCATAAGATGTTTTCAAGCAATATCTTCAAGGTTGGAGTTAACATTTATCGCTCCAAAAATCATCAATCTGGCAGTTCTTTACATTTGTGATCGTTTACTGATATGAGTGATCTTGTTCTTTTTTTATACCTATCTGGTGCTCCGTACCATGCGAGCCAATAACATATCAACGATTAGTCGTAATTCTTTTCATGAAGTGTATTGCAGGTTCCCAAAGATAACCTAGCTTTGTGGTGAATTTGTGGTTTGTTTTAGCAGCTAAAACGACATCAGCAAATGCTTATAATTAAAAGTAGGGAAAAAACCTCCTAGCCCTAAAAATATTGTATGTGTATGAATCATAATGGAAAGACTGTACAGAATGTTACAAATTTGAACTGACAAAAACTGGAAAAACCCAAGCAGAATCTGGTGGTAAATGTCACTTTTGGAAAACCCCACTCTTTGAAGTACTTGACCCACCCTGATCGAAGACATTTTCTCCCCTGAGCTGTTCATTTGAAACGTAGTATTTTCCATTTGATGTTTCAAAGCATTTTTTCGGAAGGAAACCTTTTTAGTAGTGGTGGAATGGATATCCGGCAACTATTCATGCAATTTTTTAGAATTTTGCAATTTTCGCTGATTAAGTTTTAAAAATTCGTATAAAATCCATTTCTTGGAATATGAGTATGAAAATTTCCCAAAGTGTTAATAAAAGTGTCCTCTTTCCAATGAACCAACCCGTTTTGAAAAATAACTTTTAGTTTTTGAGAAAACAATATTTGAAGTTTTGATAAAATTTTCGATGTTGCAATTTTCATCGATAATTTTCAAAATTCGCTATAAAATTAATTTCTTGAAGGATCCTTGTGGAAATATCACCAATTATTAATTAAAGTATCCTCTTTTTAATGCAAAAAGCCGTTTTGAAAAATCACTTTTAGTTCTTGAGAAATAAATTTTTGAAATGATCGACAATTTTTTCGAATTTTGCAATTTTCGCCGATTAAGTTTTAAAAATTCGTATAAAATCCATTTTTTGGAATATGAGTATGAAAATTTCCCAAAGTGTTAATAAAAGTGTCCTCTTTCCAATGAACCAACCCGTTTTGAAAAATAACTTTTAGTTTTTGAGAAAACAATATTTGAAGTTTTGATACAATTTTCACTGTAAACGTTCGCTATAAAATTAATTTTTTGAAGGATCCTTGTGGAAATATCACCAATTATTAATTAAAGTATCTTCTTTTTAGAGCTGCTTCGTTAGTTAAATCAGTATCAAAAAAGTTGATTTTGTATTTTAAATCCAAATAAGTTGACATATCATATCACCTTTCTTATTAATTTCATTTATCACTTCAGAAATGTACCAGAAATTATAACCATAATGGCCGGATAGATATGCCGGATAACCAGATATCACTTAATTGATGAAGATATTGAATGTAGGAAAATTTTTGTTAATTTTTTTTGGTAATAATAAAAGATTAACTTAGGTTTATATAAATTTATTTATACTATTATACTAAAGAATTATCTACATTACTGAAAATCAACAAGGTAAAAGCAAAGAGAAAAACAAATTTCAAAAAAAAAATAATAATAATCAGAATAAAATTGGAAAGAAAAAGAAAATGAAGATGGTCTAATAATTATTAAACTAGGTCCGCTGAAGATTCGCTTACTTCTACTTGGCCATAATAGTCTTGTTCCGCTAAAACAGTTATATCTCGCGATACGATACCTTGTGGTGGAGGATCCATCTCGTGAATTAGACGATAAACGGCGCTTTTTTGAAGATAATCGAGGTTTTTCGGGGGTGGTTGGTATTTCAAGAAATTTATACTGAAACAAAGATTTTGATTAATATAAGATTAAATTATTATTATTAAATTAAATCAAATTAAAAAATAAATATATTAAAATCAAATGAACTTACCTTATATTTATTTATTTCCAAGTAATTAGTATTAAGACTTTTTCTTTAAACTTACCCATGGGTTTATCCATATCGATTTCTATGAGGTAATTATTTTATTTTAATGAAAAACAATAAAACTACAAGATGAGGCAAAAAACTGATCGTATTTTTATTATTTATTAATTTTTTTTAATGATCTAATTTTACCTACCGATAAACTGGCTTATCTTCGTCACACCAAGGCCAGATATCATTCCAATGGTTAACCTGAAAATAGTGAAGCTTAGTGTCCAAGAAAGTTTAAATTGCCTACCCCATAGTGCGACCGGAAACCACTTCAGTGTACGAGTTGATGGTCTTTGCTATTCGTTCATCGGTAAGGGATGGTTTTCGATACTTTGGCGTCACATCATTTGGATCGGACCATTTTCTACCACCGGGTAATATTATTGGACGTTGCAACGGTGTTAAAGGATGGGAGGAAGAGCCGCGTCTTTCCTGTAACGATTTTCTTTGCTCTAATAAAAAATCTAAATCTTTTTGTTTTACTTTAAAATAATTAATTATTTCGGACCATCAACTTTTTGACTTCAATTAGATTGAATTTAAAACTTTAAAATTCCGGTTCGTTTAATTCCAAGTTAAAAAAATTAATTACACCACACAAACCTTTTCCTTTTTTTCCAGTCTTTCTTGTTCGAGCTGATGGGCCACCATCTCTTCCTCGGTCATTATCTGCGATTCCATTTCGCATTCTCTCTCGAGCGCTTCGAATAATTCCTGTTCATCATCACTTTCCGTTCGGGCTACTGCTGCTTCAAAGGTCACTTGCCCCGTTTCTTCTTCCTCGCAACTCGCTTCTTCAAGAACCGATAAAGCTTGTTCATGATACTCTTAAAATGAAAAAAGAATATTAAAAAAATTTGAGAATATTTAAGAAAAAAACTCACCAACAGATTCTGTTTGTTCCTCAATTGATTCCTCCTCTTCTATTCTTACATTTGTTTCAATTGAAATTTCCTAACAAAAAATTGTTTTAATTTACATTATTATTGTAAAATCTCGATATAACGGATTAATACTAGGAAAAGTGTCCGTTATAGCCAAAATACTGTTATATGAAAATGTAAAAATTTTCAGTAAAATTTTCACATCTTCGCATTTTTCTCGATATTGACGCATCTAAGAGTAAAGGTGCAACAGAGCAATATTATTAGGAATAAAATTTGCTACAATTTTTGATCTAAAAGTTTTTTTGTAGTATGCTCCGAATCCCAGGTATTGCCATCAACAATTTGTGAAAGCAACAAATTCATCAAATTATCATATTTTTCTAATTTTCTCGATATTGATGCATCTAAGAGCAAAAGTGCAAAAGAGCAATATTGTTAGGAATAAAATTTCCTATAATTTTTATTCTATTCGTTTTTTTGTAATATGTTCTGATTCCCGATTGTTATCATTAACAACTTGTAACGCAACGAAATTCTTAAAATTTTTACATTTTTATATTTTTCTCAATATTGACGCATCTAAGAGTAAAGGTGCAAGAGAGCAATATTGTTAGAAATAAAATTTGCTACAATTTTTGATCTAAAAGTTTTTTTGTAATATGCTCCGAATCCCAGATATTGCCATTAACAATTTGTGAAAGCAACAAATTCATCAAATTATCATATTTTTCTATTTTTCTCAATATTGACGCATCTAAGAACAAAAGTAAAAGAGAGCAATATTGNTCTTTCCTGTAACGATTTTCTTTGCTCTAATAAAAAATCTAAATCTTTTTGTTTTACTTTAAAATAATTAATTATTTCGGACCATCAACTTTTTGACTTCAATTAGATTGAATTTAAAACTTAAAAATTCCGGTTCGTTTAACTCCAAGTTAAAAAAATTAATTACACCACACAAACCTTTTCCTTTTTTTCCAGTCTTTCTTGTTCGAGCTGATGGGCCACCATCTCTTCCTCGGTCATTATCTGCGATTCCATTTCGCATTCTCTCTCGAGCGCTTCGAATAATTCCTGTTCATCATCACTTTCCGTTCGGGCTACTGCTGCTTCAAAGGTCACTTGCCCCGTTTCTTCTTCCTCGCAACTCGCTTCTTCAAGAACCGATAAAGCTTGTTCACGATACTCTTAAAATTAACAAAAAATATTAAAAAAATTTTAAAATATTTAAGAAAAAAACTCACCAACAGATTCTGTTTGTTCCTCAATTGATTCCTCCTCTTCTATTCTTACATTTGTTTCAATTGAAATTTCCTAACAAAAAATTATTTTAATTTAGATTATTATTGTAAAATCTCGATATAACGGATTAATACTAGGAAGAGTGTCCGTTATAGCCAAAATACTGTTATATGAAAATGTAAAAATTTTCATATCTTTGCATTTTTCTCGATATTGACGCATCTAAGAGTAAAGATGCAAGAGAGCAATATTATTAGGAATAAAATTTGCTACAATTTTTGATCTAAAAGTTTTTTTGTAATATGCTCCGAATCCCAGGTATTGTCATTAACAATTTGTGAAAGCAATAAATTCATCAAATTATCATATTTTTCTATTTTTCTCAATATTGACGCATCTAAGAACAAAAGTAAAAGAGAGCAATATTGTTAAGAATAATATTTCCTATAACTTTTGCTCTATAAGTTTTTTTATATCACGCTCCAATTCCTGAGTGATACAATTAGCCGCTTCTAAATCTACGAATTCATCAAATTTTGACATTTTCATAGTTTTCTCGATATTGATGCATCTAGGAGCAAAAGTGCAAAAGAGCAATATTGTTAAGAATAAAATTTCCTATAATTTTTGTTCTATAAGTTTTTTTGTAATATGTTCTGATTCCCGATTGTTATTATTAACGACTTGGAACGCAACAAATTTCTTAAAATTTTCACATTTTCGTATTTTGCTCGATATTGACGCATCTAAGTGTAAAGGTGTAAGAGAGCAATATTGTTAGGAATAAAATTTGCTACAATTTTTGTTTTAAAAGTTTTTTTGTAATATGCTCCGAATCCCAGGTATTGCCATTAACAATTTGTGAAAGCAACAAATTCATCAAATTATCATATTTTTCTCAATATTGACGCATCTAAGAACAAAAGTAAAAGAGAGCAATATTGTTCAGAATAATATTTCCTATAACTTTTGCTCTAAAAGTTTTTTTATATCACGCTCCAATTCCTGAGTGATACAATTAGCCGCTTGTAAATCTACGAATTCATCAAATTTTGACATTTTCATAGTTTTCTCGATATTGATGCATCTAAGAGCAAAAGTGTAAAAGAGCAATATTGTTAAGAATAAAATTTCCTATAATTTTTGTTCTATAAGTTTTTTTGTAATATGTTCTGATTCCCGATTGTTATCATTAACGACTTGGAACGCAACGAATTTCTTAAAATTTTCACATTTTTATATTTTTCTCAATATTGACGCATCTAAGAATAAAGGTGCAAGAGAGCAATATTGTTAGAAATAAAATTTGCTACAATTTTTGATCTAAAAGTTTTTTTGTAATATGCTCCGAATCCCAGGTATTGCCATCAACAATTTGTGAAAGCAACAAATTCATCAAATTATCATATTTTTCTATTTTTCTCAATATTGACGCATCTAAGAACAAAAGTAAAAGAGAGCAATATTGTTAAGAATAATATTTCCTATAATTTTTGCTCTAAAAGTTTTTTTATATCATGCTCCAATTTCTGAGTGATACAATTAGCCGCTTGTAAATCTACGAATTCATCAAATTTTGACATTTTCATAATTTTCTCGATATTAATGCATCTAAGAGCAAAAGTGCAAAAAAGCAATATTGTTAAGAATAAAATTTCCTATAATTTTTGTTCTATAAGTTTTTTTGTAATATGTTCTGATTCCCGATTGTTATCATTAACGACTTGGAACGTAACAAATTTCTTAAAATTTTCACATTTTCGTATTTTGCTCGATATTGACGCATCTAAGTGTAAAGGTGCAAGAGAGCGATATTGTTAGGAATAAAATTTGCTACAATTTTTGTTCTAAACGTTTTTTTGTAATATGCTCCGAATACCAGATATTGCCGTTAACAATTTGTGAAAGCAACAAATTCATCAAATTATCATATTTTTCTCAATATTGACGCATCTAAGGACAAAAGTAAAAGAGAGCAATATTGTTAAGAATAAAACTTCCTATAACTTTTGCTCTAAAAGTTTTTTTATAGCACACTCCAATTCCTGAGTGTTACCATTAGCCGCTTTTAAATCTACGAATTCATCAAATTTTGACATTTTCATATTTTTCTCGATATTGATGCATTTAAGAGCAAAGGTGTAAGAGAGCAATATTGTTAGGAATAAAATTTGCTCTAACTTTTATTTTAAAAGTTTTTTTATAACACGCTCCAATTCCTGAGTGTACCATTAACAACTTGTAAAATTACGAATTTATCAAATTTTCATATTTTCATATTTTTCTCGATATTGACGCATCTAAAGGCAAAAGTGCAAGAGAGCAATATTGTTAACAATAAAATTTGCTACAATTTTTATTCTAAAAGTGTTTTAGTAATATGCGCCGATTCCCGATTATTACAATTAACAACTTTTAACGCAACGAAATTCTTCAAATTTTCATATTTTTGTACTTTCTCGATATTTAAGCATCTGAGAGCAAAAACTGAAAGGGAGCAGTATTGTTGTCTTTGATTTATACATCATACAAGTCGAGGAATACCTACTATAGTTTATCTATGAATATCAAGATCTGTTATACCAAGATTTTACTGTATTTAGAATGATTTTAGATTATTTACTTGTGACGCAGAAACTAATTCTGATAATTGTCTGGTTACGGCGTTTAAAGTTTGTTGAATCGCAGATGGTAATTGTGATAAAGCTTGTAGTTGTTTTTGCACTTCAGCGAGTTGTTCTTCAAGATTAACCGAAAGTTCTGAAATTAAATTTTAATAAAACTTAAAAAAATAAATTAAAAAAAAATAATTTACTTTTTTGTGATTGTTCTTGCAACATTCGCTCATTTCGTTCTAAATCCTCATCATCCTCAATTTGAACTTCTTCATTATCTTCTTTTTGAATCACTTCTTCTGATTCTTCATTAATAATTTGTTCAGGTTCGTTTTCATCGATTGATTCTGCTTTAATTTCAACATCTTCTTTATTATCTTCGTCATTTTTTTCTGTGTCTTGTATTTCTTCGTTGTTATTAACATCATCGGGTTTATTATTACTTGTGCTTCCTTGTGGGGATGCTTCGCTTTTTTTAGGTTGCTTCTTTATTACAACTCTATAAGGGGCCGCCTAAAAATCTCAATTAAATATGATTTAACACATAATTTTTTTGAATTACTTTTGGTGCATCTTCTTGTTGCGGTTTCGGTTTAGGTTTAGCATTTTTTGGTTTTTGAAGAAACGTAGACCATTTCTTCTCAGCTGCTACATCGAGTTGTTGTTGAGATTGCTCTTCGATTATAACTTGTGCCACATGACTTTTTTGCACGCTAACTTCTACGGTTTCTTCGTGCACACTTTCCTCTTTTTGGTGACAAATTGAAACATCTTGTACGTGATTTTGTGTGGATTGGACTTGAGATCCAATTATCGTTGCAATCTCTTCGTCGGTTATGTTTAAATCAGCTTCGCCTTTTGGGGTTGCTTCATTTTCGACGTCGGAATCGTACTGGAAATGAAACGATTAAAAATTGGGGATTTTTTGTTGGTTAATTAGGTTTACCAGGAGTAGTCTTGGTGGTAAATTGGAAAGATCGCCCCTGAAATTAAAAAAAAATAATTTGTTTGTGGTTGGAAATCTTTCAATTAAATTCTTCATCCATGCGCCAACAAAATCAATGAAATGTTCCTACATATTCCAATCCGAAAGGTTTTTGCCAAGTGTTTCCCAACATCTACTCGGATATTTGGCACTTAACTCTCCAGTCTTAATGTCACCCTCCGTCCACGTGATCCCCACCTTAACAATTTTATAATACTCGAAGGCAATTGACTGAAGTGCGATAATAAAATTATTAAAGATTTTTATCTATTAAATTATTTAGAAAAAATTTAATAAGGAAAACAATAAATTGGGACATAAAAATGTTTGTATACTAAATAGTTAATTTTATTTTCGCTCTGTTTTTGTTCGTCGAGTACCTTAATAACGTCATTTATGGATAAAATCTTTGCTCAATTAGAATACAATACAATTTTTTTTACACAACGACTACGTTTTTATTATTTATCTTGTGTATTTATTATAACAATTCATTAAGACTTTGATTAAGACCTAAATCATTCATAGATTTAAAAATTTATTAATGAAAAATTTAAATTTACATTGAGAAGAAATTTTTTTTAAATACATCAAATAATATGCAATAAATAAAAGGGAATTTTTGGATTAATCTGATAAAAGAATATACTAAAATAGTAATTTAATTTACAATAATTAATTGATAAGTATACAATGTTATATCAATACTTAATTTCATTTAATTAATTAAAATATTGATGTGACAACTTTTTAGAAAGTATTTCTTTGTTTACTTATCAATAAATTATTCTTTTTTATACCCACCTTCTAACAGCCATAACAAATTCATTTCCGCCACTAACAATAACGTCATGAGCTTGAACATGTGTCAATGGTGATATCGCGACATCATTAATCCTAACAACAACATCACCAATTTGCATTCCAGCATTTTCGGCAATACTTCCTGGAGCAACCTATAACATTCTGCATCAAAATCTTCATCGTTTTAATGTTTTGTATTTCTTTTTTATTCTGTACCTTGATGACGGTCAAAGGGACGTCGAAATCGGCGCCGCCGGCTAAACGGAAACCCCACGGGGATTTATCGGGTTTTTTCAGTCGTAATTCAACTGCCATTCGGTAAGAATTTTCTTAACTTGCTTGTGGCTCTGTAACTTGAAGGAGATGGACGAAGTGGATGATCTAATTTGGGACGCAACTCTCACACACTGGACACTGATCTACTGGATCACATCGCTGTTAATTTAGAACTGCATGCGGACCGAATGCCGCATTGTAGTCATTTCTGGACGGGTTGTACTCAACAGAAAATAAAAGGATGGCCGACTTTCAATATAAGTTACGCATCAAAGACAGGTTGACTTAAAGAATAAACCTCTACAAATTATTTATTGTATTACGGACATAATTTTTATAACAAATTAAATTTTATAAAAAATAAAATAAAACAATAGATTGTATCAAAAAGCCGTTACAACTTAAACACTTAGGTTCGTCCACAAAACCTGGGTATTTCGCAAGTATGCAATAGTTTAGAAATAAGTCACATAATGACTTAACACATCCATCGAATTATGTAATGAGTTTTCATTCTCATATGAAAAGAAAACTGAGCATGGACTTACATAATACAGAAACTTATTGCAATATATAGGAAACAACAGACTCAAAATCAGAAGTTGATAAAATTGTACCTAATTCGTTTATCTGAAATGGACTTTTTCTAAAATCTTATTATCGGATAAATATCATGCGCAGTGTCTAAATACTGTGTCATATATTCATTGAAAGTATTGAGTTGAGTCAGAAGATAGGAAAGCATTTCTTTTTTAATGATTTGAAAGCCGCGTTTGACACAATGAGTGGGAAAATGTTGTAGGAAGAGATAGGAAGAAAGGAAGAAGATGAGTGATGTGTTTTGGACAACGTTTTATGTTTGTGCAGATATTGAAGACACATTGAAAAGAGTGGCGAAAGAAGTGAAGGATGTAAGGTGGAAGGTAAGATGTTTGGAGAAGTATTTCAAAGAAAAGTATTTTGAAGATAATGTAGTTAAACCTACGTAATGAAGTTTGACAAGGGAAGGAAAAGACAAAGATAGCAATGAAAATGATCATGAAAAGAGTTTGGCAGTTGAAGGAGTATATAGAAATAATGAGTATGAGAGAAATTTGATGAAGAGCTTGATCACGCACAGACACAGATATGAGTAGGAAAGGAACAAAAGAGGCTGATAGGTTAAAAGTAGAGACAGTATGTATGAGAAGATAGATTTGGGAGAAATCTGAAAGAAATCAGGGCGGGAAAACACAGGAAGTAAACAATACAAGGAAAAAGCAGTAATGTAAAGAGAAATAAGAAACATGGATAGAGATGTGCAGTAAAAAGAATGAAGAGTACAAAAGTAGATAACCCAAGTATAGAGAAATTATGTAAAGTATAGAAGAAAAGAGATCCTGATGTTATCTAATTGGAGAGAAATATTGGATGGACGACGAAGATGGAAGTGTTAGTGATAAATAAATATATGTCTCACTCTACAAAAAAGATTTCAGAGAGGTATGTGATAATTATCAGACAATCGTGCTACAAATACATCACTACATATCGTAATAACTACCACAGAAGCAAGTGGGTTGCGTTCCACGTCCTGGAACAAATATTGAACATAAGACAAATCATAGAAAAGATCAGGGAATTTAACATGCCTACTTACTTATGCTTTATAGTTTACGCAAAAACTTTCAATTGCCTTCAATAGCACAGTCTCTGACACATCCTGCATGAAATGGGCGTACCAAGACACCTCGTAACCATCATCAAGAGTCTTTGCGAGAATAACACAGCATAAGTAAGAGTTGAGAACGAGCTGACTGAGTCATTTCAGGTAGAAAAGGGTGTCAGTGTATACACAGTCTCCTCCTAGTCAATATCTACAGCGCGAGTGGCCCATGAGGAAAGCCTTGGAAGACTGGAATGGAGGAATAACCATAGTTTTTCTGATTGCGACATCAAAAGCGACGACCTCATCGGCAGTAAAAAGGGTTCATCGGCAAAGCAATGAAATCGGTTGATGATCTATGGAAGAAGACTTCAGCGGAGAGATTATCAGGATATGCACACTAGAAATGGAAGCCAGAACTAGACTAACAAATATATGGAGAAGTCATGTAATCTCTTTAACAACAAAATAAGGTTGGGAAGAAGTCTGGTCTTCATTATGTTTCTTTCCGGATCAGAATACTGGACGTTAAAAACAACAGTCAAAAAGAAAATCGATGCTCTGGAGATGTTTTGCTGACGCAGAATGCTAAGAATTCCGTGAATACAGAGGAAAACGTGGAAAAAACGACCTTCAAAAACTTAACTTAGAGAGAAAAAGATTGCGTAGAATTTAAGTGATGTTGAAAGATGTCAGAATGATGGGTTTAGCCAACTTCGACAAATACCACTAAACGAAGGTGACAGAATCTTCAAAGATAAAAAATTTCCGACAGTATTAGTAAAAAAATATTAATCAAATGCTTGAATAATTGATAAAGTAAGATTCAGTAAGACTAAAATTTAGGCATAAAATAATTTAGTTTTTAACTTTCTAAAGTAAATAAACATACTAGAACGCCTATAGGAGATTTTAATATTCCAAAAGGCCGTTTCGAACATATTCATATAGATCTCGTTGAGCCTCTTGCTCCATCTGACAGAAGTACATTTATTCTTACTGTTATTGAGCGCTTTTGATTGACTTGTTTCTGTTGAAGTCTCATGTCTGGTTTAATGATTAATTATTAAATAAACAAACTTTTACATAGTTACATAAAAAAGAATAAAAGATTTATTGATTTTTTTAAAAGGGCAATTGCAGTCAATATGGCAGGGAATATGTGCAACGCAACAATATGCAATAAAGCTTTATACTGGAATGTGTGCTTTAGCAGAAAAAGTGCTAACAACAGAAATATTATATTCAGACTAAGTAAAAACAATTAGACCAAATACTAACTACTGCAACCAATAACTTGTATACACGTTTTCCACTAATACATTGATCAAGTAGCGTTTTCCAATGGAAATGATTATTGCTAAATTAAAAAAATTGTTGATGATGAGATTTAGCATGTGTTGGATCTTTGCCATCAAAAATTTCTAGAAATCATCTAACGTAAGTGGCAAAATCCATTTTATTGTTGTACTATGTCATTGTTTGAAGATAATTTTGACTAAATATGAAGATATATAATCCTGCTCCAATGAAACAGCTTCACATATAATTTGGCAAAACATCATAAATCATTTGAATCATTCGCATGTATGTTTGTTGCATATTTTTGAAAAAAATATCATATCTGATATAGATTTGGTATATTTGATATAGATTTAAATTTAGATTAGAAATTAATAAGAATTTTATGATTCACAAAAATCTTACTATAATCATTTATAGTTGCCAGGAATTACGTTTTCTACCAAAAAAACATTAATAACGTTCATAGAAAATGTGCTACGCGACAAATTCAGTAAAATTCATTATAATAAATCTGTTGCCGTAATCGACTTATCTTTAAAAACCACTTAAATGTAACGTTTTTGATCAATAGAAACTTAACAATTTTAAAAAGTGATTTTATCAAATCAGTATAAGCGAAACAATCTGATTAGCTGGCAACCAGTTTTAGGGGAGGTATAAAATAAGTTTTGCATCCACCAAAAATTTAATATTGTGTGTGAAATCGACACGTGCAATACCACAAAAAAAAATGTCGACCGTTTTGGTTTTATTGGTTACCACGATTGTGGCGTACTTAGTGCATAGATACTTCAAAAATAAGCGGTTCAATGATATGTTAAAGAAATTGCCTTCACCACCAGCAGCTCCCATCGTAAAACATGTTAAACATTTTCGAAAATTAGAAGGTAACAAAAAACTTTTCACAAATTTTATTTTTCTCACAAATAATTTTTTTCCTTTATTAGGTATGATGGAAATGATTGGTGGATTTTTGGATGAATACGATGGGATGGTTCTTCTCCATCCCGGGCCAAATATTAATTATTTCGCCGTTGCTGATCACAAACTCCTTGAATATTTATGTACCAACACCAAAAACGTTATTAAATCACCCAGATACAAACTTTTTGAAAGATGGTTAGGCGAAAATGGATTATTCACAGCTGAAGGTGAATTATGGAAAAAACACAGATCGTTGGTCACCCCAGCTTTTCATTTCCAAATTTTGGAACAATTCGTTGACACTTTTAACGCTGTTAGTGCTGAATTTATTGATATTTTACAAACACAAGTTAATAAAGAAATCGATATTTATCATTACGTGAATCTCTGCGCTTTGGATATCATTTCTGGTAAGTTAGAATAAAAATGAAAAGAAAAAAATATTATTTTGTATATTTAGAAACTGCAATGGGCGTCTCTGTCAATGCACAACGCGATTCCGTTTCAAAATACGTCCACTGCGTCCAAGAAATGTTAAGAATCATCGCTGTGAGATCTTTTTCGCCATTAAAAGTCCACGATTGGATCTTCAGACTTACCAGTGATTACCAAAAAGAAGAGGAAGCGATGAGAGTTTTAAAAGGATACACCAACTCAGTTATTGAAAGGAAACAAAAAGCTTTAGATAATGGGGAGAGTCGCATTGTTAATCAAGAGAAACGTAGAAGATTGGCTTATTTAGATTTGTTATTAGAAAATCGTGGCGTTAGCATTACCGATGAAGATATCTCAAATTCTGTTGAAGGATTTATGTTTGCTGTAAGTTTTAATTTCAATCCTTTAAAATGATGTATTAATTTTCTTTTTGGTATTAATAGGGTCACGATACAACCGCAATTGCAATGGGTTGCACTTTATATTTGTTGGCAACACATCCTGACGTGCAACAAAGAGCTTTTGAAGAATTAAGAGATATATTGGGTGATGACAAAAATAAAGTCGCGACCTATAAAGATTTACAAGAAATGAAATATTTAGAAATGGTTATCAAAGAAGCCTTGAGATTGTTCCCGCCTGCTCCAATTATCAGCAAACAAATATTGGAAGATTACGAGTTCAGTAAGTATATTATAAAGATAGAGTGTCCAATAAAAACCTTGAAATTTTGGACACGGGATTCCAATCTCGATCAATAACACATAATTGCCGATTACGCGATAACAATCTATTTATAATTGACTTGTATTTTTAGATGGTTACGTGCTCCCTAAAGGATTGAGCATTCTCGGTATGGTTCATTGTATCCATAGGAGAGAAAAGTATTTCCCAAATCCCAATACATTTGATCCTGAAAGATTCAGCCCGGAAAATCAATCGAAAATTTTACCCTTCAGTTATCTACCTTTTGGTGCCGGACATAGAAATTGTGTCGGACAGAAATTTGCTATGCACGAAATGAAAATTGTCGTCTCAAGCGTTCTTAGGAATTTCGAACTTCTCCCGATTGATGGTTTCAAAATGGTTTTAGTACCTCAAATAGTGCACAAACCCAAAAATGGTATTAAAGTGAAATTGGTTGAAAGAAAATATTAATCAATTTTTTGATTTATTTATTGTTCTCAATTATTAAAGAGATATGATATGATTGTATGTCCACATAGATGTAATTATGTTAAATTAATTGCACTATTGTCTATAGATTTTTTTGTTATAGATTTGTGTTAAGTGTTCTTTTGTAATAAAGCGAAATTTAATGTATATTGAATTATCAATTATTTAGAAATAATGTATGTACTTGATTGATTAGTAGAGTGGATAGATTATTTCGATTTAAAAATAGACACTGAGTACAACGATTCAATATTAATAAAGGTGAGAATTATTTTTGAACTTATCATACTCTCAATAGGCAATTCTTGAAATCAATGCAACCACAAGTATTAAGTGATAAGAAGAGGTTTTGTGTGATGGTAAAACAAAATAATTTCTGCTTCTATATCAGCATCGTCATTAAATTTCAATTGAGTATAACCCTTTTGAGGATACAGAATGTAGTAAAACTATAGTACAAAGAAAAGTGCTGAAAAGTCGGTTCACCTCTATAATGCCTGGTAGTTGATGATTAACACATTCAACACTTTAACAATCCATTATGGCTAACCAGATATGCCGCAGGCTCGTTGGAAGGAAATGGGGTCTTAAAGCACAAATGGTTCACTGGGCCTACGTAGCAATAATCAGATCCATTCCCATGGTCGCCTATGCCTCACTGGTTTGGTGGCCAAAAACAAAACACAAAACAGCACAACAACAGCTAGCACAAATCCTGCGGTTAGCATGTCTTAACTCTCAAGAGCTGCTCTTGAAGGCTCTTGAGACCCTACTTGGTCTCACACCACCTCATTTATACATACAAAAGGAGGCAGTTTTAAGTGCTTTATTACTGAAAACATGCTCTTCACTCAAGTTGATGCAGGAATGATTGGACAAAGGGTGAGCCTCAACTTAAAAGAGGAGCCACCGATGCTTCAAAGACAGTTGGATCCGAAGTATGTGATGAATGAACATTTTGAGGATGAAAAAGTCACTGAAGTGCGTCTCAAAAAAAATACTATAATAGGGTTGCACACTAAATTTAAAGTTTTAGTGTGGCTAATAATTCTTCATGGTTAAAATGTGTAATAAGCTACTATGAGTTTATATACCTACTATGGAGTCCAATTATTGAGAGTCAGTGTCTATGAATTTCTGTTGTATTTGCACACTTCTCTCCAATGTAAATAATCTTCAATGCAAACCGACTCTCCTCTTGATTTCTTTCCAGGGTTTGCGAATTTTCTAGATATCTAATGCATATGTTAACTGTGGCATTATTATGGATTCTATTATCCTTATTTTTGTTGTTGCTGACAGCGGCGGCTGTCCTCTTTTGACGAAATATAACTTATTTGCTGTGCTTTTTTCTTGGTAGCTTGGTTTAATTGGTTCTCTCTTCATCTCTATCCCCTTCAGGATATTCAAGAAGCTGCTCTTCGTGTTTTTGCTGTTGAAGGTTACCATTTCAGCTTTCTATGCATTCAATCCACCAGTTAGGCATTCAAAGCGACATTTGAAAGATTTGAAAAAATTTCGCCTTGGTTTTTGCACACCATAGCCGGGATATGGTATACAAATATATTTCATAGCAGAGCAGAAATCGGAGATCCTTCTTTTATTCTTCTTACGCTGGACATTTTATCTTCCATTTTCACCTGGAAATACCTATTCTTTAGAAACGAAGCTGCCAGTTTGATGAGGTTCCCTTCTACATTGGACTCGATCATTTTTGCCAGCAGACCATCTTTCCAGACGCAATACTAAGCCTTCTCAACATCTAATAGCACCGCAATCGTCTGATGTCTTACCTTAATAGACACCATTAAAGTAAAGCAACCTATAACAGTGATCCTTGACGATATGATTTTATTTGCCCAACATATACAAGCTTATCCAGAAATATCTAGTCTCATCAACACAGTAATTAGAGCTGTTTTATCTAGTTCTGCATCTACAAGCCTACAACTTTTTTGTTAGCATTGACTATTCTTATATTTTTCCTAAAATTATATGCCAGGCTTCCAAAATATAGATCTTATTATCAAGTTCCTACCATATAACTGACTTATGACTCCTTACAATCTTGTTCTGCTTTACTTCAAAGGCAACGTCAAACTGTTTTAAAAAGCGTTTGTTTGGATGATTAACTAAAAAAATGATAAATTAGTATATAGATATGAAAATAACATGTTATTTCTATTAGAACGTTTTAAAGGATATAAGGTTAACTAGGCAACCCAACTTGTCCATTTATACCAAACTTTGCATTGTTTGTTTTCTAAATGCTTTCTTAAAGTTGCTGTTATATCTAATGTTTTGGCTAAATTCTTGCTACAGAAATCATCTTCCTTATCTAAAATCAAAACTTTAAAATTTAAACAAAACCCAATTACAAAATTTGATTAAAATTTCGTTCCAATAGTTGGGGTTTCGACCTAAAGTAACACCATCTCATATTAACCCTCACGACCTTATATATGCGGTCTTGGTAGAGCATAAAACACATTTTTTTATATTGTAAGAGGATATATGAGGCTAAATCTAAGAGGATAAATAGGTAATTTACTTTTAAAATGTTAATAGGTAAATGTGTAAAAAAATTAAACAAATACCATTTAATTATACATGAAAAAAAATTGTATTACATTAGTTTATACAAAAATCTAAGATCTTACATATAAAAAGAAAACTTGAAAGAAAAAGATAATTATAATAAAAGTAAAAATAAAGACACAGGGACTCTTAGAGTGTACAAATATCTCGAATATTCTATTGACATGATATAATAAATAATACAAAATCAAAGTATTTTTATTCTTCCGTATTTACAAAGGCGAGAAAATCGTTACGAAATGAATAATTTTCCTTCTAAAATTTCGACGGCGACTTTTCGCCTTAAATACGGCATATTTTCCTGTGCAAATGAAATCTTAGCGTCTCGTGTTAAAAATTCAGCGAACGTAATGGAGAACATGCCGCAATCGCTTCCATTCATTTGTTGTGGAATATCTCTAGCGTTTATTAGTCGCCAATCCGACAGGTCAATATCAGTCTTCTTCTTATCATTATGTTCGTCCCTCAAATACTGCAATAAAGTTGTAAGACACGATTTATTCGGACTTCCCATGCTGTCGTAATAATTAATTGTTTTAGTCCGAAAATCTATCATTGCCATGCACCAATGCATTCCTAAATGTATTGGAACGGCAATCATATCGTAACTAAATATATCAACTTTTCTTGTCCATCTTCTTACAGATGATTGACCACCAGTTGATATTTTCGGATAAAAAAATGTATTCATGGCATACGCTGCCGGGAAACTCTTAGATTTTCCTCTTTCAATAATCAAATTCATGTAAAAATTTATAACTTCATCGTTCAACCAACTTAATCCATGTAATGTTCCCATATCAGCGCGTGTTATATTCATATTAAATTTACTAACCAACACTTCCGTCGCCGGTCGTTGTCTATTAAATGCATTATCGACGAGCGCATTTTGATGCTGTGTTAGTTCTTTGAACGCATTTTCAACTGGTTCTTCCACAGGGATTAATACGTTCTTTATATTTAAACATGTATTTACCTTTTGTGTTAATAAATTCTCTCGAATTTCGTCGCTTATTCTGGAAAATTGAGCCAGAGAGCGGGTTTGCAATTCAATCGCTCGTTGTCTCTTTTGGAAAGCTTCATCGTGTTTTTTAATTCTAGAACAGAGGGTAGAGGTGCAAAATGAATTTATATGTGTTACAAACTCTACATTCTATAAGCTAATGGAGAAAACAAGAGGTAAATTAGGTGTGTTAATATGCTTATAAATTGGCCCATTATTTAAACGAGAATTTTGTACACCTTGTTAAAATGACTTTGATGTTGTATTATAGCCCATTCTTTTTAAAATCAGCTGTCGGCGTCAGAATTTAATAAAAACATAACACCTTAAAACGTAATTAAAAAAATCTACTGTCAGTGTCAAAATCACAAAAGTTTCTCATTGTTATCAAAATTCGATTATCTTCTCAGCAACCAAAAATACAAAAATTTGCTGAAAGTTGTCATATTCTTTTTAGCAAAATGATTGAAACTACACGTGCTATAATAGCAGAAAAGTCTGAGAATATTATACAACCTTGATCTGGAGCGAGATATATAAAATTTGATGAGAAAATTAAAGTCGACGCAGTTATTGAAATATTCCAGATTTCTACTATATTTTAAAATAAGTGAAACATGCATCGAATGTGGAATGAGAATCGGTTATGATGAGAGCGTCGGATAAAAAATTTAATACATTTCCTGTGGATAAATTATGATACATCGCTTAGGCGCCTTTTTGTACTTGTATCTATGCAATGTTGGAAAAATGAAATAACATTATTGAAAACTTCTTACATTGGAACATGAATTAAATCTGAAAATGTTCCAAACTATTTAATAAAAGTAGGTCCTTTAGCTTATGCGTAATATTATCTTATACAGGGTGTGTCAAATGTCTAGAATATAGCCTCTAGAATAACCTCGCCATTTGTGGTTTAAAAAAAAATGTTCCAAAAACAAGTTTCTTTAGTAATCAAGGCACATTTTTTGGCAATATTTGCTTGTTTGTATTGTTTTTGTTTCGTTGCTATGGCAACCAACATTGTTATTTTAAATGAGATGCATATATTTTTTTTGCATACTTTGATATAGTCCCTCTATACCTGCACCGTACCCATACATTATTAATATTTGGATTCTTTGTCGTGCGCTTAATTTTATTTCGGCGCCTACTTTAATTGTATTTTGTTGATTTAATATTTTCAGAGAACGCATTTTTTCTCGATTTTTTTCCAATACAACCATATGATTTGATATGTTCATCGCGTAAAGGGATTTATCCTCTATTAAAATGTGCAAAAAAAACATATGCATCCCATTTAAAATAACAATGTTGGTTGCCATAGCAACGAAACAAAGAGCAATGTAAACAAGCAAGTATCGCCAAAAAATGCGCCACAATTAATAAAGAATTTTTTATTTGAAACATTTTTCTTTAAAACCACAGTTATTGGCTATATTTCAGACATTTCCAAACACACCCTGTATATTGTTTATGAAGCAATAAAGAAAAAAAATGAAGTATTCCTTAGGTTGCCTTACTTTCAGTCAGAATGGACATAAAAAGTGCCACAAGAATTATCTTTGATCGCCGTGGATCTGTGAGTAGAAGAGCGATTGGGAGGTCGAAGAGACGATTTGTAAACGATGTAAAAGGGAACCTAAGTCTCATTGAAGGCTTATTTTACGTATAATGTCGTCAAAAAAAAGTATTTATCAAACAGTTTTAGAAACTAAAAAACCATATGAACCCAACCTTGGTCATTAAAGGGTTAAAGAGCTGCAGAATTAATAAAAATGAATATTTTGACTTGATTCTAGTTCAGACGAAAATTATGTATGTGATTAATATGTTTATAAAGTCTGAGCACAATTGAACTAGTAGGTTTTGAGGACTCGTGGTTACCAATTTTACCAAGTTTTTATTGCTTTATGTAGCTGAATAAATACTGTTTATTATTATTATTAATTGCGTTGCCAGAGGCCGTCTAAGACACAAAATTTTCGGTGAAGTTCTTTTAACACCTACCGACATTAAGGTACTAGACCTTGGGGCAATACTATGGTTTATCAAGGACCTACATTTGCTCTAAACTTTTAGAGGGCTAAAGTTACAATAGATATAGGTCGCGGTAGCGAGAGGGGCCGCTCCCCTCAATCCAGCAGCAATAATAATAATAAAGTTCGCACATTCGTCTCTATGTTGTGCTGCCTGTTCTTGCAAAATCAGACGATTGCTTTCATGCTGAGCTGACGTGGATCTCATTGCTGCTGTGCGTTTGCTATTTTGCTTATTGGTCAATTTTAACTCCCGTTACATCCATAAACTTCAAAATTGGTGTATTATTAAAGATTATGACAGTCAAAATGTTACACCTTCAATTATTACCATATTACAATGTAAATGTTTCGGTGTTTTGTGATTCTGCACTCAGCAATATTTGAGCAGCATGAGATAAATCTTAGCAAATGGGCTTTAATTTGTTTAAATTCTGTAAATTCAGCGGTGGACTTGACGGCAAAATATGATGGATAATTTTGATATTTTGGGTTATCATCTGTGGAACTTTTATGATAGTATTCTGCCAATTTTTTTTTTCATATCTTCCACAGACACGGAATGTTTTTAGATAGCCAAACCATAGTATTTCGTTAATTCATTGTACTTTTATGCAAACATTTTTTTGTATAGAAGTCATGAATATGTAACAAAGATAAATTGTATAAAGTAAAGGAGAATGAAAGTTGCTTTAGACCTCTAGACTGGAATAGGACTAGAAGTTTATGTAGTTCCTCTAGGACAAGAACTACATGGACGACAATTCGAACAATAAGAAATAGCGATATGAACATAGTAAAAAATCCAAATGTGACAAAATATTGTGACATAACATAACTAAATGAGTGAAAATATTAAAACATAAAATCGCTATGAGTAAAAGTGTCCTTAAATTATTGAGGCCAAACCTACTTCATTGTTCACAATTAAAAGATAATGAATTTGGTTTCAAAAAAATAAAACATCCAAATTTGTAGGAAATTACAAGCATTACTTAGAAATTATTGTTGATTACAATAATCTTTACTGGAATTATTTTCATGATAACGATCGTTTGCCGTTTCAATCCGTATGTTGAGAGGTATCAAGTTTTGAAAACAATGGTAATGTTACCAAATATTTTCTATTAAAAAAAAAAATTAGAAAAATGCGAGTCTACTGTATCATTGCGAAATACTTAATTATACACATTAAAAAAAATATTTCTCAAATATTTACTATTGAATTTAATCGAAAAATTCCATCCGCCACCAATGACTAAAACATACCAAATACAAGGCATCTTTTACATACCAAAAATTCTTTCCCTTACTATTAACACACCTCTATGTAACCACAGTTTGTTTAAGGAAGCTGTCAGTGGTTTAGTTAAATTCAATCAAAAACGTTCAGTGCTTAGTGGAATTACAAACAATGTCTTCATATTTGCACAATGTAAGTAATCATCAAGAAACATTTCAATTTAATAAATAAAGATCTTTTTAAATACTTACTCATTTTGTATCCAATTTTCATGTGTAGGATCTGAAGGATGCTTAAAACTAGCTAAACTATTATGTTTTTCAATTTGAAAATCTGGTTTTGGTGAAGGTGGTGAAGGTAAAATCTCAATATCTGTCTGATTATTTTTAAGAACGCTCTCATTGTCATGTTCTTTAAGTACTTTCTGTATCGTTTCCAAAGTAGATTGTTTTTTTGTTTTATTATTATCATTAGTTAAGTCAATAAAATCAGGCGCTTTCTTTGTTGATTTCAAAGCCAAATCGACGATTCTTTTTCCGCGCAAATGAAACTTTTTAAAATCGTTATAATTATTTAAAGGTGATTTAGCAGCAACGTTTCGTCCCAACATCTCCTCATACTGCTTCTTTTCATCTAATCTATAAGAGTATTCTAACGCGGTTGTTTGAATCGGTTTTCTTGGTTCAGGTAAAAGTTTAGATTTTGAATTTTGTAAGCTATTAAAAAATGGGGTGCTCCTGCGTTTAATCGTTCCATTTTGTATGGAAACTTTCCTTTCAGGACCACTTCCTTCATTATTATTTAAACATAACACGTTTGGTTTTATATAATCAAATCCTTTCCGATTCGCTAAACTCGATTTATTTGTGGAAGATAGTTTGGCATTGATGAAGATCACGTCGTCATCGGCTGCCCCATTTTGTAAACCTGTTGCAGTACAATTCGGGGTGGAAGTTGCTTGTTTATATGAAAAGGATCGACGAGGTAACGCGAAAGAGGATTCTTTTGTTGTGACCACATCATCGTCTTCGTCTATAACTATCGGACTAAGATCTTTTAAAGACCATTGGGATTTTTCAGGTTTTGGTAATAAATTTGATCGTTTTTTCATACTCGGAGATGATACTGTGGAATACCAATCTTCTAGAAACATAATTTAAAGAAAATTTTACTTTTTTGAATCAAACTTGATTAAACCATAAAAAAAAGTGTTAATGTGCTGATATAGGAATGACCAATACTTTTTACCAGTTCCAAGTATAAGACTTATCAACAAGCACCGTGTTATCGTGCAAAGCTTGATATATCTATTTACTAAAAAACAGCACCTGCTTAAGTATGTTTTGGTCATTCATTAACAACACATTGCTACGTTAATTACTCTCCATTACATAAAATAAACAATGGTAAGTCACAATTATTTTATTTAAGACGATAATTAACATAACCTAACATTATATCCAAACAATTTAACCCTTATTTTAACAAACTCACCTTCTGGTGACGACAATTGGGAATAACTGGTTCGTCTAATTTTCAACGGGGACTCACAATCGTCCGCGGCCCTTTCAAAGAAAAAAATTTGCAATATTTTATAACGCAGGTTGCTGTCAACGAACGGACATAACCTCACCTTCGCTTACGTCCAAAAGCAGTTGTAGGAAGTAAACTTCTTATATAGCTTAGGATGTTTTCCATGATGCTTAAGTCCGCAAAAACGAACGCATAAAATGAAGAGTAATTCTTCCAGTATATAAGTTCACTAACCGAGAAAAAGATTGAATTTTAACATTAACGGTTCATTAGGACGCCGACCAAACAACAAACGCATGCGCCATTTTACTATTTAGGAATATTCCTAATTTATCGCGTTTATAGTGAGAATGCAATAAGTAATTTGAAACATTTTTTTGATAACGAAACGCGTGTAATACAATCGGGTTACGATAAGAATAATTAAACACTATACTCAACCGGTATATCACCATAGAATTATCAAGTTCATTTAATGTTTGCCGGTCGAATCTAGTAACTTTTTGATTTGTAACTAATTTCACGTTTTTACATAAAATTAAAAGATTTTTTTTTTATTTATGCAATTTTTATTGTTTACTAATTCAATAATTAATAATCTTTAATACCAAAAAATTAATTTTTATTAAACGGAAATTTTACTGTTAAAGAAAGGCATCACTCTTTATGATTATAATATTATATAAGCAAATCTATAATAGATGGCGCTAATAAAACAAAATGTTAACATAATGTCAAGTTTAACCGTCTTTTAAAACAGCTAAATACGGATGTTTCTAGTTCTAGGCCTAGTGTTAGTTCTACTTTTCGTTTAATAAACATAAACAACAATCTAGCATTGAACAACAATTAAAATCAACCATATCAGCAAGAAAGAATGGATCGAATATTTTAAAGAACAATATGAGCAGACACCATCTCAAATAAGAGCAAGAAATGGAAGTAGAAATCACACCGACAGGGTGCCCCAACAGTGGAAAAGTAGCGTGAATGCCGGAAAACTACAGGGGAGTTAATCCTAGCCAACAAATGCTTCCATACCAGATCTTAATACGACCAGTATTTAGTTATGGGCCTTAGTGTAAAAGGACCAAGAAACACTAAAGAGTTCCTCAACTTCGAGTATATTGCGAACCAGATATAGTTAAATTAATCAAAATTGAAAGGTTGAGATGGATTGGTCATGTAGCCAGAATGGAACCTAAGAAGCCTGAACCTAAGACTCATTGAATGCTCATCATTGGTTTATTTCAGCAAGTTCGCACATTCGTCTCTGTGTTGTGCTGCTCGTTCTTCAAAAATCGGGATTTCGGTATCAAATAAACAAAATACAGGTGTTAATAGTTCTAGATCTAGTGTTAGTTCTACTTTTCGTTTAATAAACATATTCAACAATTTAGCATTGAACAACAATTAAGCTCAATTATATCAGCAAAACAGAATGGATGGAATATTTTAAAGAACAATATGAGCAGACACCATCTCAAATAAGTCCAAGAAATGGAAGTAGAAATGACACCGACTTCAAAATATTCTCGGAACAAATTGGTATAGTATAAAGAAACTGAAAAACAGAAGAAGTCCAGGTCTTGATTTAATTACGAATGAAATGTTAAAGCACGGTGGTCAGGCACTTCAAGATCGACTATACACACTTTTTAATAAAATCATAAAAACAGACAGGGTGCCCCAACACGTCACAAGAGTAGTGTGTCGATACCTACAGGGGAGTAACTCTCCTTAATACCACAATGAAAGTATTTACATCAATAATACATGAAGATCTGCAAGGAACACTCGAAATAGCAGAAGAGCAGCAGGGATTCCGGAAGAAAAGAAGCACAACGGATGCCGCCATCTTTATTATTAAGCAGATTATAGAAAAATCAATAGAATTTAATAATGCCGTCTTTTTGTGTTTCGTCGACTTGACTTAAAACTTTGGTCGAGTTAAGAAACACGACGCTATCAATATATTAGAAGATAAATACACCAACAATACTTCTAAAATAAGGACTGCCCAAAGCATACGAAAAGAAATACCTGTGAGCGAAGGAGTTCGACAGGGGTATTAACTAAGTCCGTTCTTATAATAGAAGCCATCGGACCCAAACTAGGATACAAGATAGAGACCCAAAATGTTAACACAGTTTGCTATGCCGACGACGCCGTTTTGAATGCAAGTAACGAAGATGACCTTCAAAAACTAGTGTATTACTTCAATATAGCAGCTAAACAATACAATATGAAAATATCAACGGGAAAACAAAATGTATGGTAATATCCAAAAAACCAAGACGCTGCGAACTACAAGTTGAAGACTTTATACTTGAACAATTTATGCATGTTAAATATCTAGGTGTAGAAATTACAAGGTATCGAGATGTATAGAAGTACAAACACAAGTTACAAGAGCAACACAAATGGCAGGCTGTCTAAGAGACACTATATGGCAGAACAAATACATGCGTATAGAAGGAAAATATATAATGTCATAGTACGACCCATACTAACATTGTTGCGTTTTTCGTGAGTGCAGTATAGTCTATTTGATAATAATAATAATATATTCTCTTTATGTTTTTATCTACGGCACAATGGTATTGTCATTTATTTCCAATTCAGAATCAACAAATGAATCTCGTAGCTGGCTTTAATGCTACGATTGCTGGTGCCCAACGTCTGCTCTGTTACAATATGGTACCGAGACGATAGCAGAAACATGATGTGATGGAGATGAAAGTCTTGAGATCTATGTTGAATGTGACACTGCGACTGCGAGGCAGGCAGATCAACACCTCTATTAGAGAGAGATGTAACATACATGTAGTAAAATGGAGAAAAATAAGAAAGAATAGGTGGAAGGAGCATGTGGAAAGAATGGATGAGAGGAGATTGGGCAGAATATGTATGTAGGGACGACCGAAAGGAAAATGATCACAAAGACGATTGCCCAAAAGATGGACAAAGAGTTGTGTGCGTAGTTGAATCCAAACATAAGGCTTGACCAACATCATCGAAAGTAGAAGAAGAAGAATAACAATTAAAACTAGAACAAACAATAGATTTAGAATTAGAAACATTCGGGTTTAGCCGTGCATCTTCATCAACACAACAACAAATGATTGAGCGTGACGCGTGGTGTGTCGTATTGGTCCGATGCTGACGTTATTTTCTGGATTACAAACGAACAAGGGTGGGAGTTTCCTGGCAATTTTAAAACAATTTATTTTTGAAAGAAAGAAATTTTGCTTGCAAAAAAAGGCATCTCTCGTATTTGGCAAAATTACGTTAGCAAATGTTTAACAGAGGGCGTTAATGAATTTAAAGACGTCAACAAACATCAGTTATTTACGAGTTTATGTTAAATGTGTACGTAAGTTAAAATTTATGCAAATTAATTTCTTTATAAATCCATATAGGTAAGCAAATACGTTTTCTTCTATGATAGTAACAACCCTATTTTTTGCAGGAATTGTGTTTTATAACATTTCGTGTAAATATTTTATCATTCTTTCGTATACAGGAGTCATTTAATTATTTCTTGCTGCGTTTTGAAAATTATTATGATAAAGAACGATGTAAACTTATTAGATATAACATCTCGTTTCTCGTCTCTTCCATCGACAATTTTGAGTAATAGGTAATGAAAGATTTTCCAATAATTTTACATAAATATAAATTTGAAATTAACGTAGTTTTTACATAGGTTTTGAATGTTTTAACCGATAAGTTTTTCTGTAAGAAACTGTCAGAATTTAAATTACCGCATCGATTTAATAGGAAAATGCGCAAAAGAACGAATTGCTAGCAATAAACGGCAATGGAAATTCGGAATTCGTGTAATGCCAGACGCTGCCCTAAAAAAATAGACCGGTTCCCGGCCGTTGCAATAACAAACAACCACACGTTCTTGGTTCTAATGCGAATATTTTTTAATGTTTTTATTTTGCAGTATGCGCTTAGCGATAGCAAAGGTATGAGAACCCGGCGATAAGAAACTGTGCTACGGTTATCCACATATGACGTTTGCGTCATTAGTTTTCGCATTTTTACCGTTTCACCACAAATAAGTCGTGGAATATATATGCAAAAGTACTTATGAATTGCGAAATATTATGTTGGGTTTTTTCTATATATTAAAATTTCCTTGAAGAAATTTTTATGCCAGTTAAATGGAAATAAACCCAAATATGGTTGATCCGATCATCCATTCCAATGTACTAGTTAGGCCGAAAACAGTTTTAAAATGTCATAAAATTTATGTACACGTTAATAGCAGCTAAGAATTCGGTAGAAATTTGTTTACATTAAGAAGTATGTTAATACGGTGAAAGATGTTACAAATGCTTTAGAATGGGTTCGTTTAGAACCCGTTGATGTTCACTTATAGATGTTTGGGAATTTTGCGATTTAAACTTGTTTGCTATGCGGTAATTTGTTAAAACTAAATTAATCATATACGATTTTCGTATTCCAATGGAAATTCTTAAAGTAAGTTGTTACCGGTTTAAAGTATTTCAATTCTGATCATTCTTATTCTGTTGTTAATTACGGTTTTTATATGACTGTTTGAAACGCTGGTATTAAATGCATTTACGTTAATATTCTTTTTACATCGAAAAGATATCGCGAAAATCTCAATAATAAAAATGGAAAAGTATTTAATTTCCTGTTAGCAGGTAATGAACATCATTTGAAGATCTACAAATCTGATTAAATTTTATTAACCCCGCCTGGGCCACCGGACATTGGGTAAAAGATAAATGGCTGCCGTTCATTATCTCAGCCTAATAAGTAAAGAGTAATAACCTGACGCACGGTGTACGCGCGGACTGCTGTGTTCGTGATGAAAATTCATAATTTCCGCGAAGTGAAGAGCGCGACCGATCAATCGCTACTGCTGCGCGATTCGTGATAAAATCGTCATCATCAAAGCTAATGCATTCAATGGGGAACATTAAAAACATCGAGAGAATCGAGAGCATTTGATTTACCTCGTTCCGGTCGTAATTGAAATGGGGCCTGCGCATCGACTATATTCAGAACCGTATTAAGGGAGTTTTATTACGATCCAAAAGTTTCGGATTATCTATGTTATTATTATTATTTCTTAAGTTGAGAATATGCGTCTCATTGCGAAAAATTACTTTCGAAAACATAGATTGCAGACTACATCTAGTGATTCAAGTGAAAGAACCACATCATTGTAAAGATAACATTTAAATTTTTATTTGTGTAATGTTATATAGCATTTTTAGTCATGTGCTAATATGACTCAACTTGTTATTCTTTGTCCTAGTCGGGTTATTTCACTTTGAAAAAACATTGCATTTCTATATATAATTTCATAAACACGGTAAAACATGAAAGGTAATGGAACTGACTTTGAGATCGAATGATAATCAAGTAAATTTATTAGATTCAAATGACGTATTGGTAGTTACGACTCTTGATAATCTTTGAGATCTGTAGTAACCGATTTTCTTCTTTTAAGTTGATCTAAGACAACAACTATTTGCCAAAGAAAACTTAGGGGCTAATAATTTCTTATTTGGTTGTCTATATTCCATTACCAAAAACAATTTTTTAACTTCAGCTATTTATTTTTTAGGAGTAAGCAAGTTTAACTACCGCATACAGTAGTTATCTCATCTTCTATCATGCCTGAATCTGAATCTTTCGAATTTTGAGTATGTTGAAGTCTGAAAACTTTTATCATTATTTCTGCATTCAACATTACGCAATCTTTACATTTAGGTTGTAATCGAATATCATCTTGTGGGATGTTTGAATTTCTTCTCTACCAATTCTAATTGCCACAGTCCAATATCCACAATTTAGTTGACTTCGGCAGTTAATTACAAAGTCCAACCTTAAATAGCATCTTCGGTACATGTGAAAAACATGTTCTACCTTAAGTTGAAGCGAGCTTCAAAATCAGTTATGGTATTGATAAACACTTTCTATTTTTAAATTTGCTACCTTAACACTTATCCATTACAGCTATGATCTTCACGGCGGTGACACATGTTAGTTGAAATACTGAGGCTATGTCGGGACACGATCACTTTGAAGAACTGAAATCAAATATATCACGAAACAAATTTGATATTGGTGTGTTGAAGCAAATTTGAAGCAGACTTTATAAGGATACTACCAGAACAAGCGTCATATTGTCATATTTAAGTTTTATTGTTGAAGCTAGCAAGTTCTTAGAATACTTAACAAAATCATGTTTAGATTGCAGGTTGAAAATAATTCACATGGGAACGAGGCTCTTCTTCATAAGCAGAAAAAATTTTCCCAATGAGTCTCACAATACATTAATAAGGCGTAGGCATAAAGGTCCCGGGAAATTTTTGTTGTATTCTTGAATAGAATTGAGTAAATATTCGAAGATGTAATATATTGTATTTATGATGGAATCAATATAGCCGATGGTCCAGATAGTAAAGAACTTGTATAGAGACGAATCAGACAAAAAGCTGTACCACAATGATTTTGTGTTAAGCTTCCTAGAATTAAGGAAGAATTTATTTTGAGGTTTATTACGGAAGACCAAGATCTCCATGCTACAAATATAACAATATCTTCTAATAATTTATGCCAACCGTTGGATGTTAAGCTTTTAAACGCATTTTTGAGATTTGACAAATACTGCTCCTAAACAAATAAACACGGTAATAGCCAATGCTAATAAAGAGAAGCCAGGACATGACCAAAATGGGATAATACGACATTTACTTAAATGATTTTATGCAACATGAATTTATACGCCACAACGTCGTCAAAGTAATATCAGACAGTCATCTTGTATCATGCTTAAGGACTTTCTAAATGAACTTTTGCGCAAAAAGGCGTTTTGGTGAGAAAAATGAAGTGCTGTGACTAGTTATGCAAAAACTACACGTTGTCCATATCAGCACAAAAGGATTCCGATGATGATGCTGATAGTGTAAGAAGCAGTAATAACACAGGAGCGAGTCTTAAGGAAGTAAAATACACTAAATCATAGCTGTAGCTATTATTATAACCAGATATTGTTGCCATATTACCACCTTCAGTTATGAAGCAACACACCCTATGGTACAAGAATTCTACCCGGAAGTACACTAAATAAGAAAGGATTGAAGACACACTATAATTCTTTTGCAAAAAGAAGTGCACAGTGGATGACGCAATTTAAGGAAATACAATTTTTTAACAACACTGCATTAATAAGCGTTGTCATTAAGCATTTCTAAGATGTCCTCATTAAGTACTCAAAACACCAAGTCTATTCAGAGGAGTTCTCAAACAGATACGTTAAGACTTGCAGAATAACAACTTTGAAGTTTAAAGTTAAGTTAACTAACTCTATATCTCTTATTGTCGCCTATTGTAGGCTGATTATCTGTGTTACTCATCATACACAGAGTATTGCGAAAGAGAAGCAGACGCTCTATTTAAGAATAATGGAGATTGATACTTTTTCTGGAACAACCATTGATATAATTCAATTCTCCACGGACGTATTCAGGTTTTGTTATTCCTAAGCTTAAATCTTGATATATAACCTCTATAGTCAAGTACCAAGTACAAGGTAAAATTGGAATGTTTATTTGCAACAAATCTGCCTGTATTTGGAATTCAAAGAGAACTAAATATTAACAAACCTCGAACTGTTATAATATTAGAGTTTGAATATAGCCTGAGTGTATCAAAAATGGCCAAATTCAAGTTTTTTTTCTTTATGCAGTACTTGGCAAAAAACGGACATAAGTCCACAGTCTTTGCTTAGCTGGCCAAAATGAACACGGAACTCCCCAAAAATGCACCTAGAACTGATTAAGACAATTAAATGCAGACAATGATTTGGGTATACCACGACAAAAATTTTTGACATACCAACCAAAGAACAAGTTCATCTCTGTATCTGTATTATTTATGATGCTTTTTGTGGAATTTTCTAGAACTATGTAGAACTTTCTAGATTTCTTCAAGAAATTGCAACAAGACTATTTGGAAAGTTTAGTATTTTCAATTCTAATTCTCTCCCTATATTTGTGGAGATCGCCGTACAAATTATGTCAAAAATAAAAACAATTATTATACCAACAAATTTCTGCCTAACTTTAAAGTTTTGCTGTCTTCCTGGAATCTAATATAACACGGATTTTATATATCATTATTTATATTTTGGTTTTAATCGACATATTTCGATCTTATGTATTTCCCATTGTTCTATTGTCGATAAGACGACTAGATGTATCTATAATCTTACTTATTCTTGATAAAAATAAGATTTGAAATAATGTGAAGTACGGTTCTGCATAAAAACTATACTCCCCTTAAAAACTAGGTACAGCGTAATTCTACCAGTTCGATATCCCACCCTATCCGTATCGCGATCACCTACAGTGCGTCCAACTATTGACAAACTGGCGACCGTCGGTGAAACGAAGAGTATGATTGGTCGAAACACAACCAAGTAACAAACCACGCCCGGAAGGTACGTCCCGGTTATGTTAATAACGTTGGAAGAGGGGAAGTACTGGGCGTGTTCGAACCGGAGGAACGACGTGTTCGGGGTTGCCGGAGGATCCCGTGCTTAGTAAGCGTCCTAAGGTCGACAGTGATCGGACTTGGCCGCGTCCAGCTTAGATTCAATAGGGAAACTTTGGGGATACGCGATACGCGCGACATCGGGCGACGGTTTGTGTAAGGTACTATATCAGTGTGATCGGCTACCGTCGGAAAATCGCACAGAAATAAAGTATTAGTAGAAGAAGACCAAAAAAATTAAGAATCGGTGAAAACGGTTAAAAGAAAGCGCGATTTATATATTCTTACTATTGTATTTTTGTACTTGTGCTGTGATTCAGTGGCATGATTAGGGCGGGATCCTGTGATGTACTATGAGTTGCTCTGAAGTGATGTACCAGGCTTATTACCCGTACTTGTACCAGAGGGCCGGTGGTGCTCCGCCCGTTTCTGCACATCCGGTACCTAGAGCCGGACCATTTACTTCACCTTTTGGAGCTGCTCATCAATATGATAGGGTTAGCATTATATTCTAAAACATTTTTATTACACCCATCAAAATTACTCGCAATTTTTGCTTCTTTGGAAGTTTGTCAGATTAATTCAGAAATTGTCTAAAAGTTTTCAAATTTTCCAACAACTTCTTGGACACTATTGGAATTTATATTTTTTCAATATTTGATTACTGAAATCTTTTTAGATGATTTTTACTTCATTGGAAGTATGTCAGATTAATTCATATATTGTCTAAAATTTTTAAAATCTTCCAATAACATCTTGGACACTTTATATGTTTTTCAATATCATCATTAATCTTTTCAAATGACATTTTTGAAATCATCTGATATGCTCCTGAAGATGGTAAAACACGGAAATTTGGTATTTCATTATTTATTGCAAGAATCATATTTTGATTAGTGATTCGAATCATTTACATAATAATAAATTAACACGTTTATGTAAACGTTAAGCTAGAAATGTCGTTTAAAGCTTCATATCATCAGTTTGATCTCGTTGAAAGAAACATGCAACAATCATAATTCATGCGTTTAAAGAAGAATGAAAAGTATAATAAAAATATTTCCGTTCTAATATTCTTGTACTCATTTTCATTCTTGATTCTTTATTATTAATTTTGACATTAAATCCGATAGTAACGTTGCAGTTACCTACTTAGTGTGTTCGCCGTTTCTTCCGGTGATAAAAAAGGGAGATATACAAAAAAGAAAAACGATATTCTCAACACTTTTTATAAACATTTTTCAATGTATTTATATTACGTATTGTTTGTAATGAGGCAAAATTTGAATTTTTCTCAAATAATAACTTTTGCAAAAACATTTAGTTGGCGTGCTGTGAACAGTCGCGGTTTTGTCGATTAATTACCGCGCTTAGGGGGAAATCATTTCTCTCGACGGTTCTCGGAAATCGTACCAACACGTCCGCGCCGGTTCCCGCGGCATTTTTATTTTACTTTCTATTGGCGCACGTCTAAGCATATACGGTGCGATCACGGCAATTTAACAGGCACCGCGGGCAAGACTTACGACCGTCCGACGTTTAGCCTTTTTTGGCACCCGACCTGACGATTTTTATCCACGTGTGCCGACCGATCCAAAAAAATATCTAATGGCAGATTCGAGATTAAAGTGCACCTTTAACGTTCTCTTATCGCCAATACATGTTTGTTTTTACACATAAAACCGATCTAACAAAGAAAATTTCACATGGTATTTGTAACAAATTCCTAAAGATGACCCTATGCTACTCAAGATATGCTTGAATGGAAAAGAATAATAAATTGTTTTGCATTTCTTTGATATCTTTCTACATAACCAATTTTTTGGACTGTCACAATTGTAAAAAGTGTCCAATAATTAAAAAGTGGAGAAAATCAATTAGAAACGTTATACTTGCCAATTAACTTTAATAATACTATAAAGGATGTGATGTAATAATATTGAACCAATTATTTGATATATATATCTATGAGAATCGATGGCGACTGCTAACACTTATACATGTGATATTGTGCAGAGAAATTGTGCTTCAAATAATACGCTAACTATCATGCCAGATGCTGACCTAAATACTATTAAACAAATGAATACTGAAAGTGATGATGACAAGGATTGTTCATTTAGTCCAAACCATTCCAATCAAAGTTTATTAGATGATACCTTCCAAACACAACTTTTTTCTCTAGAAAAGGGATTCTTATAAACATAAAATGTCTATGCATAGTTATCAATGTTTATAAATAAGTTGATAACATAAAGAAACCTTCCAAAGAAAATTTAATGAAATCTCACTTTGAACAGAGTTTAAATTTGCCGATTAATGCTGAAATGAATATTGAACCAAATTCCAAAATGCCCAAAAATTAAATGATATGTTCAGTATTAGTGTGAATGTAATATTTCTTATTATTAACCAAGTTGCTTCAAACTAGATATTGTGCTCTCATGTAAGATATCAGTAGATATAGATGATGTTAGAACTGATTATAAAGTGCACCATATCTCTTTTTATGAAAGTTCTCCATTAATCCATTCTGAAGAAATGCAGTTGAAAGTTTTGGTTAAATCAATAAAGAAAATGTTTGTAGAAGTTTCCATCATCTTTCCTGAACGTAAAGTATTAGTTAATAGTGAAGCAATTATCACATAATAACTTATCGCAATTTTACTACTATAAGACTACAAAAAAAAAGCATCTCAACAACAGTCTAGGCTACAAGCCTCAAGAAGAAACAGAATTAATCAAAATAATCAATGGTATAAGTTGAACTTACAGGACAATTTAAAACTATAAAAGTTAAGAATAAAAACGCGTTGAATTAAGACTAGGAGTTGTCGAAGCAGATATAGGCAGGAACTTTTTGTTGAGCGCGAACGCGGCGGCAAAATAGTTAACAAGTATTATAAAGGATGCAATGAACTTTAGTATAGCGGGTTATAAGACGACAAAAACAAGGATTTGAGCCTTCTAGAAAAACTGGTAAAAACGACTCTCCGTAATACACCAAATCAGAATGCATACCAAAAGAGAAAACTAACTGATTAATAACGTCATACAGGATGTAAAAAATTCATGCTCCAAATATGTGGCGACACTGTTTATTAAAGCTAATGAAAAAGATAAAGTTCAAAAAATTGAATATGAAAAGTTGTAAACATTTAATACAACCAAACGGATGAAATGAGTAAGTACCTAAAAGAAGGATATCTACATGAACCCAACTGGGGATTTGAAAGTTATAATTTATTAACGGAGATTAATATACAGGGTGATTCTCAACCTATACGCATAAACTGAGGGATTTACTCTTTATGGCGAATAATGACTAATAGGCGAAAAAATTAGGAGTAAAAGATTTTCTGTTTCATAGATATCCGTGATATTTACTTTCAAATCAAGAAAACATAGAACATTTTAAAATAACATCGTAGCAAGTGTTCGAAGTTATTTCCCATATTTTCTATCAATTGTGTTTCCCCGAATCCACGATCCCACACTAGCGTGGCCTAAACCAGGGTGTTGGCGGATTGTCTAGGCAGGAGCATGTATCTGATTTTGCAATATTTGCTGAGTATTAACTTCTGTGGCGTACACTATGTTTTTTAAGTGACTCGAAAGGTATAAATCAAGAGGATTGAAGCCTATCCATCTTCCAGAAAACACATTATCTAGATGTCGCCGATTATATCGAATATCTAGGAAACTAAAAAACTTTTACTATAATTTTTTTCATCTATTAGTCATTATTTGTCTTGAGGGATAAATCCCTCAGTTTATGCGTATAATTTGAGAATCACCCTGTATATGCGGGCGATTTACTGCCGGTTGTACAATTTGATTTTCATAAGAGTCTTCGAGAAAGAACTAATAACGATATGGAAGTGTCTCTAGAACAAGTTATATATGCCATATTCAAAAGAGACTGTATAAAGAGATTTGATAATCAAATTTTTCGTGTCAATGAATACTATCAAGAACAATCAACACTACATGAAATCCGAGTTAGAAGTTACCATGGAAGAAGTATCAACGATCTGGTTTAAGGATCCACAAGAGGCTTCGGTTATCATAAAAGATGTATGTGATACAATATGGATATGTGGCAAAATTTAACAGTTTGCCCTTCATATCCGAAACAGAGACATGAAAAGAAACTATCAGATTCTAATCTCTAAAAAATACGGGATGTAGAGATAGATATCCTGAGACAGATATATGATATAATTAGAGAGCAAGATTTCATCTAAACATAAAGATAGAGTAGATATTAATATGAATCAAAATATAAACCGATTGTCTGGATACCAGTAGGATGAAATATCGATTTATACTTTCTTCCGTTGTTATCGAAATTGGTATTTGAAGGTGTAGGAAACCGTTTCTATGGTCTTTGAATAGTCTACATCTTGTTGTGATGAATATTACCGCTTCTGGTGATGACCTCTATGTTACAGAAAAAAAAACAGAATTAAGTTAGCTGTCTCTTGGTTTCCCTCTTTCTTCTTGAATGCGAATACCAAGAGAAAAAAATGTTTAGATTCTGCTGTTTTAAAGAATGACCACTTTGGTGAAATATTAATGGTTATTATAATTATTTGCTATTTATCTGCAAATAAGTAGTTATTTCTAAGGTCCAACTAATCATAGAAGTCACGTTTTTTTCCTGCAGAAAGGTTATTTTTATTTTATTAATTACAAAAGTAATAAGAACAAGGACAACAACAACAATACCTAGAACAATCAAAGCAACACATTTGCAATAAACGCTCAATATGGATACCATTTAGTTACGTTCCGAATGCGTGTCCCCAACTGATTTACAACATCAATTCTTGTTTGATAGACTGGATTTCAAAATATCTCAAATTATAAAATTACATATATTTAAAACTGGTGATTGTGGATAAATAATTTTGACAAGTCTTCTTCGATTTTAATGTTACCAAATCTAAACGTGAAAAATTTTGTCATTCTGTCGTTTTATGGACATTTGTGATGATTCATCAAAAAATAATAATCTCTTTACCTTTTTTAATCGTAGATTAAAGGAAATCACAAAATTGCAACTTTTTATCTCGGTCCAAAGGACTAATACATGTTGTAGGTGATAAGGATTTCTTTGTTGGAGTTGTTCTTTAATAAACATTTTGCGCTATGGAATGTGCTTGTTGGGAATTCGTTTTTATTTAAGTTTAGAACTTCATTTGATGTTGTATAAAAAACTGTATGGCAACAAATTCTTGAGGATGATTCTATTATAGTCTTAATATTGTTTCAAAAATTAACAGTAAAATTAGAAATTTAAAACAACCAGTTTGGGAATGTGATTGCAATGATTACAATTAACACCAGAAATATACCTCGCTTATAATTGAGTTGTGCCAATATTGTATAATTTATTAAAATAATTCTTGTATGAAATACCTGTAGATAATCTTAATTATCTATAGGGAATTAATTAGTAAAGGTGTTCTTTGCTCTTCTTTTCGGTGAAATA